GTGCGGGTGGGGGGCGGCGGGGGTGCACTGCGGCTAGAGAGCCCGGAGTGGGAGGGCCGCCGGGAGAGGAGGGGGCGCCGGAGCTGGGCTGCATCTTACCTAACAGGTAAAATGAACCCCTCGGGAGGTAGGTTTCTAGTCAGGGCTTTCTTCTCCAGGGAATAGAAAAGCTGCATTTCAGTTTCGGGGTGATAGGCTGTGGTGAGATCTGGATTTTTATACGATTTCCTAAGGAACTTGTGGGCCAGCCTGCTCCTCGCAAACACCGCATTTGCTGCAGGGCGGTATCTCGGAGCAGAGGGTCGCCCAAGGGCAGAGATGTGGCCTTCTGGTCACTCCAAAAAGGGGAAGAGGGAATTCCTGGGAAGCACCCTATGCCCCTAGGCCCGTCGCAGTGAGGTTAGCTGCTGATTAATTAGGAAGAACATTTAAATATCTCGGCTTCTCCTCTTCCCCCATCCTAGCGAGGGGCGGGGATTCACATTTAGAGGTGAAGGCAAGGGGAGAAAATGAGATGCCCCTTATCATATTCCGAAATCTATTTGCGATTAAAAAAAAATGTTAGGGACCTACAGAGGACTCCTGAGGCCTACTGTGTAAATATTGGCTGAAGTGTTTGTTTCACACATAGCTTCCACACCCATTGAACTACCCCATAAAATCTTTACCCTTGACCACAGGGATAATGGGGAGGAAACAAGGATGGTGCCAGCTCGACTGTACAGGAACATGGGTACTTCGCGAGAACAGGTCAGCAGCCTGGGTCTACTTCGAGAGACTCTTAGTTGACCTTGCGGGATCAGTCACCACAAGCAAACGCTCCCCGAAGTTTCTATGTATTTTTAAGCTGACCTGTAAACAGGCAGCTTGTCCCCTACTTGCCCCGCTGGCATTAAAGACCCTACACAGATGACGTTTGGCCTTCGGTTTAATGCTGTCTTATTTTTACACCCCATTCCTGGTCCGCTCGGGGTTTCCGTCTCCTCTTTCCGCGGGAGACCCTGGTCTGCTGCCAGCTCTCAGGCACTGCGGGATGCTGGCGGGGACAACGCAGCAGTCGAGGCGCTGGGCCTTAAGGCAGGGTGAGGGGCGGGGGAGTTTCTCGGAGAAGCCTGCTGATTGGTGGGGTTCCCTGTCTTTCAAGTTTTGCCTGACAGGAGGGGAGGTGGGGAGAGATGGTAGGGGTACCAAGGTAGGTTGCGAAGCGTAGGGGAAATTTTTTTTTTTTTTAAAGAACTGTAAACGCCATTCAGCAGCGTGTGATACGTGAATTCCGGGGACTCGGCATCTGCAAAAGGGCGCTCCCCAAGCGAAGCCCGGGAGCTTCTCATTTCTCCTTTCACCTTTTTGTTCCCTGCCATCATGCAGCCTCATCTGAACCTGGTTAATCTGTAATTTGTGTACACACTGTTGAATTGAAAGCCCGCCCTCTTTCCTTCTGACAGCTTGGCTATGTGGGCACACGTGCCCACTACGGCAGAGCTATAAATAGCATGTACGTATTTGGAACTGGTAATAGGCGGCAATAACAGTGGCCGAGATTTTGAGGGTATAGCTTGCTTGATGCGGAGCAGGGGAGGGGTGGGTGGAGCAGGGAAGCATGAAGTTAGTAGTAAAGTGTAACTGAATGGGGTTTCACCCTTGGCAAGAAAAAAGATAAAGGGTTGTTTACTAGTAACAATGTAATCTAAGGCCAAAGGGCTTTTTATGGTTTTGACGTTTAGCGCAGGGTGGGGTTATTTCATATTTTATAGGAAGATGATCTAAATTCCAAGAATTTTACTTTTTAAATGACACCCCCCCCCCAAAAAAAAAGAAAAAGAAAGAAAGAACAGCTAAATAAAAGGAACACACCTCTATGGAAAACAAAATATTGAACTCTTTCCTAAAAGGAGAGGGCAGGAAGATCAATTTAATTTTCAAATATTCTACAATAACCTTCACAGAAAGGTTAGGATTTTGATCATATAAGAAAAATTATTATAAAAGATTTTTAAAAATGTCTCAGTGGGAAAGGGTTTCTGCTTTAAAAACTCAACGTCAGTGGCTAACATACTGGCTAGAAATCATGAAATAAGCCAGATTGCTATGACAAATTCTGGTCAGACCAATGGGTTTCATGTGGAAGATAATCACTGATCATCAGATACTAGGTATTGCCATTTCTTCCTCGTTGCTGGTGTTTAACTATCAATGTTAAAGGTGGTTAATATTTATTATAATTGTACGATAGTAGATCCATTTGTTCTCTACATTTTTTTATTAATGGGTTGTGATAATTCTGGAAATAAACATTGCTGCATTTTATGTACAAATAGAAAGAGATGTTTTTGTGGAATCTAAGTGAAGTACTTTAAGCAAGTACAAGTATCATCCTGTCACCTTACACTAAATTAGTCTTGTGGAATACTATAATAATATACACTATTTGAAAAATTTACTCCTAACTGAAAATTTACAGAAACCAAAATGCCACCTAGTACCAAATATATTGCTCAATGCTGCCATCTATAGGACACTTAGAGATGATTTGTGTAATAGACTAAGGTGTACCCTGGAGCAGCTATGTTGATATTCACAAATGTAGTTATAATTCCAGGCATTAAAACCTTCCATGCCACGAGTGCACTATTGAGCAATATCTCTACAGTTAGTTTTAAAATGGAAATATTGGTCTGTGTGGTGCTATCAGGGACATCATGCAAACTTTATAAATTATTACATATATCCTTAAAATGATCTCTAGTTATAAACTTTTATTAACCAATTTAACTATGGTCAACATAGAGAAGCATAGAGAAGCATAAACTACTGTCCTAACAGAAATAAGAATTGAGTTGGCTAAAGATGTAACCAACCATTTAAAAATTAGAAAGTATTTCATATATCAAAACAGATGCTTTACTTAAGATAAATAGGTCACAGCTGGAGGAGCTGTTTAAATATTGTCATCTCTAGAATTAATTTTGGCAATTGAGAATTATGTTTGAAGGAAAATCAAAGCTTGTAGATTTTCTCATGTTAATGTCTATTTTTATTTTAAGATAGTTCAAGCATAACAAATATTTGAATGCCTACTCTGCAAGGCAATATAAAATATATCAAAAGAGATACCTTTTTACAGCTTGGATGGGGTAATAAGAGAGAGACAAAATAAAGATAATTGATAACTAAAGTCATTTGTGTGTGTGTGTGTGTGTGTGTGTGTGTGTGTGTGTGTTAAATAAGTGATATTTATCACTTATCTCAAATAAGTGATATTTACTTACAGCAGGTGGAGAGCATGGTGGATGAAATAACTGAAGAAATCTTTATGAAGGAGAGGAGTTGTAAGCTTGAACTTGAAGGGTGGATGTAACCCAGGTAAGTGATTGGTTATCTATTTGCTTATGTGTTGCCATGCCAATGTTTTGGAGCACCTTCTTGTGTTAGGCATTAGGTTAGGCACTGAGGATTTAGATATCTAAGACATGGCCCTGCCCACAGGAAGCTTTCAGTGAAGATGTAAGACCAGATAATACAGAGTGCTGTGATCTCTTTGATGAGAAAAGTAGGCACAAGGCAAATGAGACCCCAAAACAATCAACTGCCTTCTGATTTAAAGTCATTGATCACAGACAGTACAATAGGAGAGCCCAAAGATGTCTTTCCCTCTGATAACCTTGTTTCCTCTTGTAATTAAATTTTTCTTGCTTTTAGATTAAAAAATGTGAAATAATGAAATTAAAAGTGAGCTAGGACGCCACATTTGGCTTGAGAATCTGCTCGGTCAATGCTTCTTAGATCTGCAGATCTTGTTAACATTCAGGTTCTGATTCCCAAGATCTAGGGCAGGCTGAGGGTCTGCATTTTTAACACATGTCAGGTGATGCTGAATCTGCTGGGTGGGGATGGGGACCACCCTCAGTAGCAGAGCTCTAAATGACAGATTAATCCAAAGGCAGAGTAAGATGGTGCTGTGACACACAAGCAGGGTCTGTACATTTTAGTGTCACATGAATACATACAATGAGAAGAGCAGCAATAAAAGCTCTACTTACCTGAGGCATCCTTGCATTGGGGCTTCTCTCTTTTCAATCACGGGTATCAAATCTCTCTTCTGACAAGTATGAAGAGTTGTTTTTTCTTAAACATCTGTGAATGGAAAGTAGCTTAGTGCATTCAAAGGACAAATATCCATACTACCACTTAGTCTTAAGCTAGAAAACAAGAAATAAAATCTTATGTAAAATAAATCAACACCCAACAGCATAATTATGTAAAATAAAAATGGCTACATCATTAGTAGATACACAATTTGCCAAAGAGTGAAAACTGTAACTCTTGGAATATTTCTAGAACTACAAAATATACTTAAGCATGTCTCTATGAACTGTGAGATTTTATTATTGCTTTAGTTTAGACATTTTTCCATCATGATATAAGTTACAATAAATAAAATCCATGTACAATTTTTTGCATGTCAACTGCAAATGGCAGATGACCCATTCTGTCTCTGCCCAGTGGTGACCTGTCCACTCCCCCAAGTGACCTTGTTTGTGCACAGGGACATTTGCCTCCCACAAAATTGCTTGCTCTCTCTGTTGGCCAAGGTTGATTGTGTTGTTTTTGGTTTGTTGTTGGTGGTGGTGGTAACTGAGAGTACTGAAAAATAAAGGTTTAAGAATAAAATCTTTTCTTTGTTCCCTGAACAGCTTCCCTAATCCTCGCCCTCCCACCCCATCACATTTTCTCTGCCACTACAAGAGGCACTACGAGGGGGTGGTTCAGGACCACGGAGAGCGCGAGGAAGGGGCACTTCCAAAGCATTCTAGTCAGGGAGGTAGGGAAGAGATGGCCCCAGAATTGTTGCTGGACAATTTCCACTTAAAGGATATAATTATAAAGAATTACAGTGGAATTTTGACTCCCTGGTATTTGGGAGGAATGATTTTTCTGGACATTCAGCCAGTGCTTTCTGATCTTCATTGAATTCCATGTAATGATGCATGAGACGACAACAAAAGTAAGGACAGCCAGACATTGCCAGTGCAAAACACATTTCATGTTTATAATTTGATACCTTTTATGTAAACTTTCACATTTTTGACAGCTTTGGGACCTATCAATCTAGCACATAAGAGAATTAGGTCATATAGAGATATGAAGAGTTGGAAACAGGGAATTGGAAGGTGTATGTGTGGGTTCCAGTCCTAGGTCCTTAGAACTGCCGTGGAATCTGTAGCTCATCTTTCAATTCTATGATTACCTAGAACACTTTCAATAACTATCCTCAATTCCCCTTTTAATTTTCCTTCAGCTAGTTTCATTTGAGTTTTACTTGCAGTTGAATATGTTCTACTAATGCAGATGGGTAGGGCTTAGAATCAGGGCCATGTAAGGTCTGAGAAATCATTTGGTCTGCCCCTGCAAAGGCATTAGGGCTGGGTTAATTAAATGTTTGACCAAATATATCAGGCTAATTTTTAAGTTGATAATTTTATATGGCCCGTGAATGATGCTATAAATATCCAAATGGCCCTTGCCAGAAAAAAGGTTCCCCACCCCTGGAGATAGACAAATGAAAAAAAAGGGGGTAACTCCAGGTTGAGAATAAAACAAGATTATAGGCAAGGAGGCAGGAACATAGCTTGGGGTTTTCTGGGACAGAGAGAAAATTGGCCTAAGAAAATTGAGTGGCTTATAGAATATATATTTAAATAACTTCTCTATATTACAACTGAGTAGGAATATAAATTCTCCCAGCCTCTTCAGAAGGCAGTTGAACAAGAGCTATAAAACTTTCAAATGCATGTACAATGTACCTAGCAATTCCACTTCTGGAAATGGATTCTATAGAAATAATCATACAAGCATATTCATGGAAATGAATTTTGTCACAGAGAATGACTGAAAATAACATACATGTCCATCAATAGAGAACTTGTTAAATAAGTTTACCACATTTACATGTTGACATACTGCATAGCCATTAAAGATAATTCAGTAGATCTATGGAACAATCTTCACAGAAAAAAAGGCAAGGTGAAAAACTACCATAAATGCTATCTTTTATGTTTTTATTTTAAATAAAAGCACGTGTATATTTTTATATACACAGAAAATTCTAGAAGGGCAAATGAGAAATCTTAGCAATGCTTTCCCTAGGAGAAGATCATCTTTTATTTTTCCCATATTCTCTTATATTTCTTGTTTTTAAAAACTACATTCACATATTACTATGTAAACTACTATAAATATAACTAAAGTATAGAACAATGAAAACTTTAATGATATATAAATATTATCACTTTATTAGAAATTTCTATGTAGACATTGTTTTAAGCTCTTTAATATGTTACCTCATTCAGTCCTCACAGCAATCCCACAAGGAAGATGTTTTCCTCCAATTGCACTTGAGGTTGCTGTAGGCAAGGCAGCTGGAGCTCAGTCCTGCAAACTCTGGCTCCAAAGCCCTTGTGTTTAACCATTCTCCCTTTGCCCCCCCCCCCGCCCCCCGTGAGCTTCCCTGACTTTGTTGTAATGCCTCCCCAAAGGCAGATTTCTGGGCATAAAAACTAAATATTCATGCAACTGTCTGTCAATGACATCCAATAAGGATTCTCTTCATAATGGCTAATACAACAACTCACAAAATAAACTTTTCCTTCTATACCAGGTGTTTAGATGTGATGTAGAAGATTTCTTAAACTGACACACCACCTCATAAATTTCATTGCAAAGCAATGTATAATGATAGTTTCTCTTTCCAGTAGTGGGAGCCATTGAATTGTTTAGTTAAAATAATGACAAAGTTGGACTTTCATGTTGAATAAATCACTCATGTATTTTTGGAGGATGGACTTATAGGAGAAGAGATTGGCCGCAGAGAGGTAATTGACATGGAAATCTGTTGGACATCTAACCATCACTCATTTATTCCATCTTTTGTTAAGAGCACCTTGGTATCCTGTGGGTCAAATCATGGAATGGTGATTGGTTTACTAGTAGGCCTTAGAACTGAACTGCCTTGGTTCAGTTGGATCTGCCATATATTATCATTGCAAATGTTGACAACTTAACCTCCCTCATGTCTCAAGTATCAATACCATGGGAATAATAGTATCTCAATTAATCAGTGTAAGGTTTTAAATGGATACTGATTATATTTTGAGCACTTAATAAATATTAGCCATCATCATAATTATTGTTCTCAACCATGTGTTTTGAATGGTATTAATCCCTTCACTCCTCATCTCCCCCACCTCACTGCAAAACAGGTTCTAGCATACAGTCCATACAGTGGTGAGGAGCACAGAAATTTCATCCTTCAAGAATGAAGAGTCAGTTTGACTCTCTTAACCTACTTTATTCTTTTTATATTACCAGATACATTTTACATTTGTTCTCAGAAAGAAGAGAATTGATGTGACATTGACCACTGCTTTGGCGTAAGCAATAAATATGTGTTAAAGAAAGGTGGCTAAAGAAACCATTCCAGCCCGGCCGGCATGACTCAGTGGTTGAGTGCTGACCCATGAACCAGAGATCACAGTTTGATTCCCAGTCAGGGCACTTGCCCAGGTTGTGGGCTTGATCCTCAGTAGGGAGCATGCAGGAGGCAGCCGATCCATGATTCTCTCTCATCATTAATGTTTCTATCTCTCTCTCCCTCTCCCTTCCTCTCTGAAATCAATAAAAAATATATAAAAAAGAAGAAGAAACCATTCCAGGCCTGGGACTATATGAATGATGGTGGGGAAGTCATGAAGAAAAGCAGGCATTCCATGTGGACTGGAGCAGAGGGAACATGTGTCCTATCTGAAGCATTCAGTACCTGGAAACCATCATAATAGCCATTATAAGAAGTGGCAACTACAAACTCTTTGAGAAGAGTGTCCTCTTTATTTGAGAATCATTCAGAACATCTAGTAACATATACTTGGTGCATAGCAGACACTCAGTACTCAATTATAGAATTGAACATTATTACATCATAACTTTGAGGGCCCACATGATGACTTTGAATGCAGAGCAAAGAGCTCAGACTTACTGCATTAATAACGAGGAGCACTTGGTATGATAAACAGGAGAAGTAACATGAGCAGATGCAGGAAATAGAATAAAATGGAAACCTGGGGCAGGGGTAGGCTAGTTAGGAGTCTGTTTCAATAGATTAAGTGAGATGATGAGGCCCAGGGTTAGGTTTGTGCTGGTAGAATGAAGGTGCAGAAACCTTCAGAGGTGAAGATGATGGGCTTTGGAAACAGATGGGATGTTCGGGACAATCATTAAGGCAGCAGTCAAAGATGATGGCATTTCAATCCTGAGTATTGGGAGGTTGGAAGGACATCTGATCACTCTTCTTTTTCAGAGATGAAAGGCTTTATTGTAACTCACAGAAAAAGCAGTCGCCAGAAGTCAGCGTGTTGGTGCTAGGTCCCTATCTCTCCAAGTCCATAGGGTGATGCGGTGGCTGACATGGATGCTGCCCAAAGAGTGGGCTGCAGTACAGGGAGGAGCCCAGGGCCATGGACCCTACAAGCAGCAAAAATTGCAGTAAGAAGCAAACAAGCCACTCTCCATCCCAAATGTCCCCTGGGGAGTAGGCAGTTGCTGACAGTTACACTGTGGGCACCTTGATCTACTGGGTTGCTTCCATGACTAGCAACAGAAACTGCTCGGCGTCAGGAGATGGATTGGCCTTCAAGCTGGCTGCTCAGCTAAAATTTTCAGAGACTGCATGGGGGCCTATGGAGGATGTGCCTCCCAACACCATTCGTTTGAAGTGCATGCATCTGACCACTTTTTAGGTTTAACGGACATTATTTTTTTTCCTTTCTTTGCCCAAAACTAACCTAATGATTCCCTCCCCCCCACTCATAATCCTCATTTATAAACTCAAATTGTTGGTAACTGAAGGCATTAGTTGTCATCATGTAATTTCCCATAAATAATTATGTGACAACTTAATTTCCACAATGAGCACAGTTGAAGTTATTTTTCTAACTTCTAATGTAATATTTCATCATGAACAATTTCCTAGATTCTGCCTTTTGGAATCCCACTTCTTATCTAGTTTGGGAATTCTCTTTTCTAAAATAAGGACCAGTGTGTCAGATATTACAGTTACTATACATTTCATCTAAGCTTTAAAAATGCATTAAATGTTTCATGTCTTAATTCCTCTAGGCAACATGGAAGTCTTTGGGAAATGTTTATATTTTATTAATTGAAGCGTATCAAGATTGATTGACTCTAGTACCATGAATTCTACCTACATAACAGAAGGCAAAGGTAAAGTTAGAAGTTCCAATTTCTGCTTCACTTCATTCATTCTAGTTTAAGCTAATTATAGTAAATGTTATATTGAGGAAAAAGGTTATTTGAAGAGTTGTCACTATGTTTGTTTCTAGGAAAACTGAAGGGTTTTTTACTCCAGTTTCTCAAGAAATGGTAGACTGAGTTTTCTGATGTTCTTCAAAGTAAAGTTTTCAGTACTCTGGCTACCAAAGGTTAATTTTTTCTCTCTAACTTATAATATATTCATGGATTCTTTAGACATTACAAGACAGGTCAACACTTTGGGGTGAGGGGAGTAGGACATAAAAGAGGCCATTTTGAGCTTTAAGTTATTTTTATAAAAAGATCTGCTCTGTGTCTCTTGTTAGGGAGGTGAAGCTGATGGCTCACCTATTGGTGTGCAGGTGGGGCTGACTGTCAACGTGTCTGCCTTCAGCTAGGAGGTGGATTCTATTGAACATTGTGCTGACTTGCAGGCTACAAAGCCTCTGACAAAGGATCATCACATCTGGAGCCTGATTTTATGTCAGTAGCTGACCTTCTTTTCACCTTCGTCCCCGTGGACTTCTTGACTTAGTATTTCTAAAGGTATTATACAGTGCCATCTTGCTGACTTAGACAAGGCAGTGACAAATTTAATGTTACTTCACCTCTGTGGGGGTGAATTCAAGACCCATTATTGTGCCCCCAAAACCAATAGCATATTTGAATATTCTGAACTGCAAGGCTGGTTGCATTAACTGGAGTAGCATGAAAATGATGAAAAAAGACAAGCTGTGCAAGAAATTATCAGTTTATCTTGTGGAGAAGGTTACCTCAGAGGTCATACATTTCTTTTGTCTAGCAATGGTTGGAATAGTTTAAGAAACAGCCTAGTTATAGTCTAGGCTAAGGGATGAATAATCTCTTAAATTGTGCCTCATATTTAAGATTCTGTTGTTTGCAGGGTATGAACACCAGCTAGAAAACACAGGTCTAATGCCTTTTCTTGATCTCAAGGTTTTTAAAAGACAATTTGCATTTGGGCTCATTTTTCACTGGTGCAAAATAACAATTTACATTTCAATTGTGGTTTTCCCTAGACGGACTAAAATGTGTAGTTCATTGAACATGTCAGTCTATAGCATTTTCTGCAGCTAATGTTTCCAGTGTCTAAATGCTGTGACTATACCACTCTCGTGATACTATTTTTATTCTGTGTAAGAGTGCATAATGAGTTATATCCTCCTGACAATATGTTTACTCCCTGAATTTAAGAGCAGGCAAGGTCAGAAGTTATATTAATTACCTAGGGAAAGGATCACTTGGTCACACGTCATCAAATAATTTTCTGAGAGCTAAAAATTAGTCAAATTATTGCCTTAACTAAGATGCCTAGTGGGTTAAAGTAAATGATTGTTCAGTTCAGCCACAGACAATCTGCTAGGCCTAGTTGATGATGTTCTAATTAATGCATTATAATAGTCAATCAAAAATTACTTACTGGGTACTGATCAGGTACATTACACTGATACTCAGTAGGGAGCCAAGAGGAAATAACCCACTAAGACATTAGCTAAATGAAGATGTATACTGAGCAACCATAAACTGCAAACTAATGAGGTAGATATTTATCATTATGAAGCATCAACCTGTAACCACAGAATTGAATGACCCAAAAGCACAGATGTGTTCTGGGTCGCCCAACCAAACATGGATGCAAGGAATCAAAAACTAAACCCACTTTAAATTGGACCTGTCTCTGCCTGGGAGAATAGGTAAGATACAGAAGTTAAGTCTGGCTGTGAAATGACCACATTGCCTATCCTCAAAGGGAGGAACCCCACTAATGGCTATATTAGAATCATCTCAGGACTGGGGTGCTTGTACAAAGTCAGACTCCTGGGTGCCACCTGAGACTGAACACATGCAAATCCAACATGTAAATTTTAAATATGCTCTTTAGTTAATTCCGAAGTAAGTGGTGTGCAGTTCACATATTGATAAACATACTTATGGTTTCTGGTAGATTTCTAGATCTATCCTGTTGTTTTTTGTGTGTTTTTTTAATCCTCACCTGAAGATATGTTTTTATTGATTTTAGAGAGGGAGGGAGGGGGGGAGAGAGAAAGAAACATTGATGTGAGAGAGAAACATTGATTTGTTGCCTCCTGTATGCACTCCAACCAGGGATCAAACCTGTAACCTAGGTATGTGCCCAGGCTGGGAATCTAACCTGCAAGATCTTGGTGTACAGCAAGCATGTCAAACTCGCAGCCCACAACAAATATTTTTGCAACCCAGCCAATATAATGGTATGTAACAAATGTTTTAATAAAAATTTCGTAACTTAATTTTTACAATATCCTGTTATACATAATTATTAATAACTACAATGTTTGCTAATGACTGATTACTATAATTGTGTTGCATTCATTTCCCTTACGTGCCTTCGCACGCAGGTGCACCATTTCTCTCCACAAATACTAGTATTTTAGCAGCCAATTGCCACGTCATTAGTCTTGGACTGACTTGTTTGGTGTGCGCAACAGGAAATATTTTGCTTTCAGAGAATAAGAAAAATAGGTTTATTTGCATTACGCTTATTAATTTATGCAGTTATTCAGTGTCTGGTAAGTTAATGTTCAAGAAAAACAGTAATTTTTTTTTTAAATATATTTTATTGATTTTTTACAGAGAGGAAGGGAGAGAGATAGAGAGTCAGAAACATCGATGAGAGAGAAACATCGATCAGCTGCCTCCTGCACATCTCCTACTGGGAATGTGCCCGCAACCCAGGTACACGCCCCTGACCGGAATCAAACCTGGGACCCTTCAGTCCGCAGGCCGACGCTCTATCCACCGAGCCAAACCGGTTTCGGCAAAAACAGTAATTTTTATTAAAATGTTCTATTACTTTATGTTAACAATTACTCAATTATATTCAGCCTTTTGTATTCAGCATGTCTCTGTCAAAATAAAGCTACGTTTCTGTGAAAATTGAAGCTTTTGTTTTTTTGCAGTCCATATATTAGTAAACTTAAACCTTGTTTATTTGGTCCATGTTGGCCTTTGAGTTGGACATGCTTGATGTACAGGGTGACACTCCAACTAACTGAGCCACCTGGCCAGGGCTTTCCTGTTTGTTTTTGTAAAGTATAACGTAAATGCAGTTTTAATGTTATATATAGGCTAATATAGAGGTATAAGACTTCCAAACTATGAAATCATTTTCAGGTATTATTTCTATTAATATTTGTCTTATTTCATTAAACCAGAAGTTGCAAACTGTATCCTGCTGGCCAATGGGGTCCATGGGTGGTTTTTCAATTTTACCCAAATAGTATGTTTAAATTGTCAACATTAAACATTAGAAGATGATGCATCAAAAATTAAAATTCTAATTTCTCTTTAAAAATCAGAGTATGGGGCCCTGATTCCCACCTGGCCTCCGTCAGCCAAAATGGAAAGATAGCTGCCCCTCTCGGTGGCCACTTTGCGGTAATCCCACGACTCCAAGTCATCTCCCTGACACCATGGCCAATGCCAGGTGCCATTTGTCACCTGGTGCTTCAGATGCTTCCTGCCACCCAGCCCGCTCGACTCATTTGTATCTCCTGCCTAGCTCCTCCAGGCACTGGAGTGTGTGACCCTGTCTTAAGGGTACTTCAAAACCAATTGCTTTTGAACAGCATTTGATGATGAAGACAGATATTCCACATTCAGACCAGTTCTACTGCATTCCCCTGGGATGCCAGACTACGCTCCTGAGCAGAATCGGGGCTAATTCATTTAAAGAATGCCCATTAATCAAAAGGAGGTCCAATCTAGCTCAAGTCTTTCTAAGAGGCTACACAATTTGCCATGTTGAATGGATGTGCATATTTTATTTTGAGAGTATTTTGTACAGCAAAAGGAAATATACTGCTTATAGAGACTGCTGTCTTTCAGAAAACACAGATGGTTACAGTATTTTACCAAAAAAATAAATTGAATAATAGTTCAAAAACCACTCTAAAAAACTTACCTTCAGCCAATCAGATTTAACAGCCCAAGAATATTCAATGGGCAACGTATTCTATATTTCATAAAAAATGTAGTTAAAATATCTTATATTATTTCTTAGCAGGAGCTTGAAAATTGAACAACAGGTTGCCCTTTCCCAAAACTAAATATAACCTGGCACTGGAAAGATAAGCCTTTCCCTTTGATTTTTATTCCCCTGATCATGTATCCTGAAAACAAGTCTCAAGAAAATTCAAGGTAAAAATCTGTTAATAAAATATCAAGTCGAGGTTTAATTTTGAAAACTACATGTTATGGTATTATTTTTCTCCTGCAATTCAAGTGTCTTTTTTCACCAGGACAGCTAAAGATCTATGGATGAATTCGGGTGATTTGGGTTTGCATTCCAACCCTCTTACTTTTTGTCTGTGTGATTTTGTTTCTGAGTTCTTTATCTGTAAAATAAGATAAAAATCCTACTTCATAGACTCATTCAGAGAATAAATGTAGTTTTATGGCCTAAGTACATGGCAGAGATTCAATAAATGAATGGCCTTTATTTTAACCAGTGAGGGTGATTCATTCATATTCATTCTCTCTCTCTCTCTCTCTCTCTCTCTCTCTCTCTCTCTCTCTCTCTCTCTTTCTCTTTGATCTTGACTAAACAGTATTTCATAGGACCTAAGAAAAATTTCCTAAAAAAGTAAGCAGTGCACCCTTGTTTCCATTTCATTTTAAGGAACTTTATCCAGCCAACAAAAGGTAAGGCAATGAATATAGTATCCATGACACAGCATTGTTTAAGCTAATAGCTAGTCA